TTATAACTTCACGGTTGAACGGGGTTTACCAGGACTGGTACACGTAGGATTGGCATCCGTGAAGTGTTAATCCTGCAAGCTGTAATTCTTGGAGAGGCCAACTGCTGAATACTCTAGCCATTGTTCCAGAATATGGCATCAACGCCTAACCGCCTCACGCGAAGTCGTCCTTCTCTTTGCTATCGCATTCAGCTACACTTTTATATCCCTACCAATTTTTTTTTTAACTTCACTGTCTCATTTCCTTCTCCAACCGCCGTTATTCCTTTGCCCGTGTGAATTTCAGTGCATTATCAATCTAGTTCTATTGTTATCCGGTTTTCACAATGTCTTCAGTCAACACCATCGTATTCCCCTCAAGCAACCTACATCATTACAGAGACAAATTTACGGTGCAAGATACGACAGATTACGTGTGCATAGATGCTTACATTACGTAAGCTGGAAAACATACGGACCAGCTGAAATTCAACTCATATTTTATCAGCTCATACGCTAACAGCTATAAATAACAAATACACTGACGCATGAAAATCAAGTGACGCTTTGTTATCAGTCAGCTATGATAATTATTTTTATGGTGCTCATAATATTGTATGCGCTCACATCTTCTTCTGCCTCTTTCATATTTCATTCAGGCCTCGTTTTCTGATGTTTAACGAGAGTCATTTATTAGATAAAATACTTTTCATCTTCTGAAATGCTGCCTTTGCCTGGCCAATTCTGCTCCTAATTTATTTTTAGATATAATTTTAAAATCTTGACTCCGTCACTTCAGTTAGTATGCTCCGCGAATATCAAGTGCCTTTTCATTACACTTGTAATGTATTAGCCGTATATTACTGCTTGCTGTTGTTAATATTTTTCTGTTGATCTAAGAATTACGTTTTTTGTTGAATTTTGAACGTCCACATAAATCTTCTTCTGTCTCTTTCATCTAATATTTTCTTGCACAATTGTAACATCTTGACTCCACCACTTGGGTTGGTATGCTCCAGGAATGTCATATGCTTTTTAATTCCTGGATCTGTTTTCTGCTGATTTTGAATGGTTGTACATGACAATGAAATACTTAATATATGCCAATGAAATATTATGTAAACTATTTATTGCCGTATTTGCCACGTAAAAGACCATGTAAAATAAATGGACGAGAAAAAGCATGCTAATTACATGTGATGGCAACAACAGTTCTTAAATCCATGCTCTCATTGTGGAAGACTATATACTTTTCTCATCGGACGTTGGTCTTGCTAGTCAAAGTTACTATCGCCATTGGATGTGAAACCCGTGTCTCCCCATAGAACAATATAAACACCATTGTTTGGAAAGACACTGTGGTGACAACAACGAAACAGGGCGTCTTGGTATGCTAAATATAGCAGCAAATGACAATAGGACGGTCAACGGAGGGAAAGGAAAAGACGAATACGAATACAACCAATGTATTTATCAACGGAATGCTAAATAGAGCATAAACTGTGACTGGAAAACAACGGACGAGATAACAGAGCTAATAAAAAAACAGAAGTTAGCATGTAAACCAAGAAGTAGGTAATGGGGTAAGTCATGTCTAGCATTTAGCATTATTTAGCATTTCTTGCCATAGGCTTGGTTGCAGTCACACCCTATTTACGCAAGGGCGTCTTGAGCTTGTGTAGTTACGGCCGTATGGTTATTGAGGGTTCTTATTTTTCTGTACCTTCGGTAGAGACTAAACAAATGTACGTCACCTTATCGGGGATCTGAATTGGTGTATCCGGCATGGAGGTCTGCCATGTAGCCTAAACTGCCGTTCCTGGGAAACTTTTATTCAATATTATTCAATAATTTTCCGTCCTTTTCAGGATGAAATTTTTCGTTATTTAAAGCCCTACTCTGGCTCTTGCCAGGGGCCGCAATATAGCCTGGCCATAAATATGACCCAAAGGCTGAACGCGGTTTCTGGGACCTCTCCACATTAATCCTCACCCACATGGTGGCACATTGTGTTATCGGGTGTTTATCGCTTGTGTGATGTCCTGGTGGGGTAGAAAATCAGTCAGTCAACTTTTTTTTTTCGTCATTGGTCGCCATTGTTGTCCTCTTGTTACATGATATGTCGCATGGACCTCGCAATCTGTTTCTCCATTCCGTTCTTTCCTTGCCGTCCCTTCGATATCACGGATGGAATCTAGTCCAGCACCCTTGGCCTCTCTTGCCAAGGTTCTTTTTAAGGTTTTTTTTGGGGCATCCTCGATTCCTAAATCTCCTTATTTCCCGTTTTAGTGACTGTTGATTTTCAGCTCTTACTGTGTCGACTGATTGACTTTCTACCCCACCAGGACATCACACAAGCGATAAACACCCGATGACACAAAGTGCCACCATGCGGATGAGGATCGCCATGGAGAGGTCCCAGAAACCGCGTTCAGACATATGGCCATATGTATGGCCTGCCTATATTGCGGCCCCTGGCAAAAGCCAGAGTAGGGCTTCAAATGACAAAAAATTTCGTCCTAAAAAGGACGAATCTAGATTTATCAATTCTTACTGTGTGCCCAAATTAACGCTATCTACTCTGTCCTGTTACCACTGTTTTTAGGATACATTATTTTTATTATTCATTTTTTATTATATTCATCACTATACATTAGTTATTATGATACATTATTTACTTAGCCTAATTCTGGAATTCGTTTCATACATGCTGAGTTGAGAAGAATATCTTAAGCAATCTTTATGTGTCAAATGAGATGAAAAAGATAATTCTCATGAGCTAATAAAACTTTTTTTTTTTTTTTACTTACAAAAGCGAATTATGAATAACTGGACGATTAGGGACAGATTATGTGGAAGCTGTGAAGATGTGGTTATATAGACAACTGATGAAAACAAGCTAAACAGATGAAAAGATTAATGACGATGTTTTGAAAGAAAGTGACATACTAACAAAGAAGAGAACTGATTGCCCACATCAGGGGAGACAAGTCTGTGGTCATGTCATGACAACAAGAAAACCCGGGTACCTAATAACAATGGGGAAGTTGGAGGGGGGTAGAGGCAGAGGGAAATCGAGACAGAAGATGTTGGATAGTCTGACATCATGGCATGGAAAATCATTTGTATCAAAAAATTATTGAAAGTACACGAGACAGAAGGTTGTGGATAGACATGACTATCAACTCCACACAAAAAGGACTAAAACAAGAAGAGCTGAAAAATAAACTGTTCACACACAATAAATTAGTTATTTCCTTGTGAGATGCAATTTTTCGTTATTTGAAGCCCTACTCTCGCTTTTGCCAGGGGCCGCAATATAGCCCGACCATAAATAGGGTCTAATGGATGAAAGCGGTTTCTGGGACCTCTCCACGGCTGATTCTCATCCACATGGTGGCACTTTGTGTCATCGGATGTTTATCGCTTGTGTGATGTCCTGGTGGGGTAAAAATCTACAACTACTAAACTGTTAACTCAATAACATGCCTCTAGGCAGATGGGAAGTTTCACTATCCGTCTGACACAACCTACTCGTTTCTAAATATGGAAAGAGGAAGAAGGGTTCTGCAAAGCTATCGAAGTGAAGATGGACAGTAGTACTTCAAATCTAGATTGAGTGGAACATTTTCAGTAGCTTAAATCCTAGCGAGTAGGTCTAAGAAAGATCTACAAAAGTAGATGAGAGACCAAAGGAAAGTCAAAATGCTGAGAGCATGCATTTTCTCTCTAGCAGCATGCAGATAAGAGTAGTTGACTATTTTGTAGCAATTAAAGAAGAAAATAGAGCTTTTGAGCTGACATGATATAGAAAGATTCTCATGCTTTAGAAAGATTATCATGCTATAGAAAGATTCTCATGTAATAAAAAGATCTGGCCGATGCTCAACACTCAAGGGAAAGGCGAGACAGAAACAATCAGACAGTCACTTGCGCCATCGAAATTGGAACTCTTCGTTTGCTGCTGAAGACAAGGCAGAGCGCCTATGGAAGTGTCCTGAGTGCTTTGAATATAGCTTTAATAAAATGGGGTGGGAACAAATACTGACATCCTAACAGATGTAAACATCAAAGAAGATTCGCTAGCAATTTTGAAAACTGAAATAGTTTGGCCATATCAAGCGCCTCGGCTGACTTGAAAGAATAATAGCAGAAAACATGCTTCCAGGACACAAGGTCAGGGGCAGACCAGAAGGAAGATAGACACAGTACATAAAAGTTTTTAAAGGGTAGGACATTATCAGTGTTAACTATTAAAATGAAAACACTCTCGTCCTTCTTAGGATGAAATTTTTCGTTATTTGAAGCCCTACTTGGCTCTTTCCAGGGGCCGCAAAATAGCCTAGTCATAAATATGGCCTAAAGGCTGAATGCGGTTTCTGGAACCTCTCCACGGTGATCCTCACCCACATGGTGGCACTTTGTGTCATCGGGTGTTTATCGCTTGTGTGATGTCCTGGTGGGGTAGAAAGTCAGTCAGTAGGAAATTGTAGGAAAGAGAAAAAGCGGGTAAGAAAGAACAAATAGTTTATGTTAGTTTTACAAAATCAATCACAATAAACACACACAAGGATGTTGCGGCGATTAGCCTTCATCAGCACACAAAGAACAACACAGCACACATACACAAATATGCTTTAACTATGAAGTGACTACACAGTACTATAAGGTACAAAATAAATGATACTCATCCGTGACCATGGTGAAAAAAATTCGTTCAAGAGGATGAACAGGACAGGTACTGCCTATATATCGCCAAAGCGAAGACGGGAAGCGAAAACTGGGTCTGTAAACCTGGGTAATGAGCGGAGTAAACGCCAAAAGACACAACAGCGTACACTGAGTGTCTAAAGAGGGAGGGAGTGGTTGGTATAAGAGACACCTTGGGTATAAAAATACACCAGGCGGGAGGCTAGTGAGAGTCCGAGTTTCTTTCAAGCAGATCGTGATGAGATTGATGTTTTGCAAAGGACCAGCTAACATGATAACAATGTTGTAAATGAACATAAAATAACAATCACCGTTGTTTAATCCAATGATGAACACTGTGGGGCGACGTGCACGAGGTGACGGCTCTATTCCCAGGTCAGCCATGTCGTTCATTGGACGAAATATATCACTTCTTGTGTGTTTGGGTTAACAAGTCCCTTTCTCAGTAAAATCACTTTGTCTGAAGCTTGAATCGCATAATCATTTCCCGAATTAACACGAATCACATAAATCCCTTCCGTAATGGTCAAGAATTTATTTGTACTTTTCGACTGTGGAAAATTAGTAAATCTCGAGCGATCCGATACAAGCGCTTACATCCTGTTCACCGCGCGAACAATCAGTACATATCCGTTAAGACTTTTGCTGCGAGAGACGGTGGTGAATCTATAAGTGTTTCCAGTATATCGATTCTTAAATCAGTAACCAAAAGTAAGTCTATATCACACGGGCGTGCCTTTTTATCACATAAATAAACATCTTTCTACTTCTTTCTATGAGTGCCAATAAATACATGCTCTGTTTTTTTTTTATTATGTCCTTTTATCTGCCTAGTACACGTATTTCCCAAAATAAATTAACAGTGTACGACATAGAGTGGTAGGTGTCTATGTTTGTATTTATATGCTGGTGATCGTAACGTGCAACTGCCACCATCTGCAAACTTATGTTCTGATGAAATAAAACACTATATGAAATATGACTTTTGGCCATCGTTGTGTCTAAAGCACGCATGATTGTATTGTAATGATAATATATATATATATATATATATATATATATATATATATATATATATATATATATATTTAAGCCAGCGGTGATACATATTATCCCTTTTAAGATATCTAACGAATGTGAGTCGGCCCCGTGGCTAAGTCGATGCGAACGCTTCGTAATGCCGAGTGCCAGGTTCGATCCCAACTGCGGGTCATGCAGTTGTATCAAGAAGCCGACCGTCCAAAAAGCAATAGCAAACTAAGGTTGTGGCGTATCCTTTACAGGACGTTGCAGAACCAACCCCAACAGCCCCTGGCTGTTGTGTGGTTTCTCTAGGCAAATTAACGTCCAGTAGTTTGAATAGCAAACTACTGGACGTAAATTTACCTAGAGAAACCACACAACAGCCAGGGGCTGCTTGGGTTGGTTCTGCAACGTCCTGTAAAGGATACGCAACTAACCTTTTTTTAACCAATGTAAAAATATTATAGAAATTCGGCTTAAGGACTCTGCAGTAAAAGTTTACGCTGCGATGCTAGGGTAACTCTTGATAAATTTATATTCGACGTTTGTGATCGGGGTATATACTAGACATTAGAAAATAGATGTATTAGTTGTTGCAAATACTGTACATAATAAAATGCACTTCAGGCTACATAAAATGAATTCTAAGTTACTTACTTGCCCCCCCCCCCCCCCCCCCCCCCATAGCTGACGGTTACCTGGTTTTAAAACCCCTACTACTCAACAAGTCACATCATGAGTTAATTCAACTGGACAAAATCCAGTTAGCATGTTCTACCTCTAAATTAGTTGTAATTAGATCGCCCTTCAAGCCCATACTAAGCACTACCCTTTTGTACTCTAGTCTTGTGCTGTTCAGGTATTAGCAATAGGTTTTTGGTCTACCCATGTTTGGCCCTTTCAGAGACTATAACAATTACATTTTGGTTTGCAAACTAGTAGGGCGAATCTCAGATACCCCGTTCAACCTCCACATAAGTTATGACTAGCCACGACGGCTACATTAAATGCTACCAGGCGTATAAAGCGGGTAATGACTTGAATTAACCACGAAAACAACAGTTATCCTGTAAGACAAAGCGGATTCGTTGCAGTGACATTAATTAACAAGTTAATCCTAGACTGAATTACTGGATAAAGCATACACAATTAAGTGTGCACTGACAATTTAAGCACATGAACTAAAAGTCACTCAGACAAGGTAAAAGTCACTCATACACTTATCAGAAAGGGTACATGTACACTTATCAGGAAGGGCATATGAAACAATACATGTCCAGAAACAATAATAAAGCCACACGTATCACATGATGCATTGTTATCAGTACCTGATATCTGGATACAAGCTACGTCCCATATTTATTAGATAAATGGAAATAGTGGTTGTTAAATTAATGTTGGCCATGGGGTGAACTCTGTCGCAGAAGAGTGATCCTCGCCATCTACCTTCAGGAATTTAGGTTAGTTGCGTATCCTTTACAGGACGTTGCAGAACCAACCCCAACAGCTCCAGGCTGTTGTGTGGGTTTTCTAGGCAAATTTACGTCCAGTAGTTGTTTGCCATTGCTCACTGGACGGTGGGCTTTCTTGATACCACTGTCGAAACCAACGCAAGGCGCATGGCCCGCAGCTGGGATCGGACCCAGCATCCCGGCATTACGAAGCGTTCGCATCGACTTAGCCACAGAGCCGACACCTTCATGAATAAATATACTAAACGACCATACTTATTTAGTGGGCTGAATAGGTGGGGACATGGGGGGGGGGGGGGGAGTGGGGTAAGAACGAATGAGAAACAGACTGCAAGCCCTAAGCAACGTTTGAACAACACAACGTGATCCGGGTGGTGATTATAATGTTGAATGTTTGAGGACACTAAGATGAGCTCCCTGTGTGTCCATCTTAGTCTTCTTCTTGTCCTTCGTGTTCACCATCTGTAAAACTGGCGAAAAGTTATGGTTGTTTATCAACTTTCGGACTGCAGTCCTGTTCCGGAACCTGAGTGTTGCGTGTGCATCCGTTTGATAGATCTGACTCATTTGTGTGCAGACTGCTGGTTCTTTGCCTCTCAGGCAGATGTACTCCGACTTTCAAGGAACCTCCCAATTAGTCGACTCTTACGACATGCTTTTTGGATAGGCAGTGGGTCTATTCTAGTTTTCCCTATAATAAGGCCCAGGAACCTACACGGGGAGCTCATCTGATGCAATTATATTCGTTATTTTTTTTTGACTTACATAGCAGGTGAGCAAGGGCTAATGCAGCGTAGGCTCACACGGTCTCTACAATACTGCCCAGAATTTGCTCTGGAGAGAAAGGACTCTCTGGCCGTAACTGGTATCGCCATTGGATATCATTTACATACTATAGCACAATGGAACACTGTCATCAAGAAAGAGGGAAGGTGCCACAAAAACAGATACTGTATGAATAGAGCTCAAAAGTGGGAGAATTTATTATTATTCCCGTACATTGCACTAGAAAGACTTATAACTTCAATAGATTGTTTACATCTGCCTTTCTCTCTTCCTTCTCCTCCTCCTCCTCCTCATCATCCTTCTTCTTCTTCTTCTTCTCCTTCTTCTTCTTCTTCTTCTTCTTCTTCTTCTTCTTCTTCTTCTTCTTCTTCTTCTTCTTCTTCTTCTCTTCTTCTTCTTCTTCTTTCTTCTTCTTCTTCTTCTTTCTCTTCTTCTTCTTCTTCTTCTTCTTCTTCTTCTTCTTCTTCTTCTTCTTCTTCTTCTTCTTCTTCTTCTTCTTCTTCTTCTTCTTCTTCTTCTTCTTCTTCTTCTTCTTCTTCTTCTTCTTCTTCTTCTTCTTATTATTATTATTATTATTAATAACATTATTCTCAAATTCCATGCTATGTAGTTTCATGTCTATTTACAACCTTCTGTTTCGTGTACTTTCAATCAGTTCTGACACAGATGATCTTCCATGCCATGATGTCAAACAGTCAGCCTCTCTCTCTCTCTCTCTCTCTCTCTCTCTCTCTCTCTCTCTCTCTCTGCATACCTTCCCCTCCAACTTTTTCACTGTCCCGATGGACTCCAGTTTTCCGCTTCTCCTGAAATGACCAAAGAATGTAGATTGTCTCCTTCTGATGCAGGCAATCAGTTCTCTTCGTGAGTCACTTTCTTTCAAAACATCTTTTTTACTCTTTGTATCTGTCCAGGCTATTCTCATCATTCGTCTGCAAAACCACATCTCCAAAGCTTTCAAATAAATTTTCACTAATTGACCAACTGCTAACACGGAAACAAATATCCACAAAGAGCAGCAAGGTACACCAGTTGGTTAAGCCGTCACTGATGTCTTAATTAAAACGTCCTAGGGGATTCAACAGTTTCTGAGATTTGCCCTGTTGCTTTGACATCTATACCTGAACCCTTGAAGTTGCAGGGGCGACACAATCTTCAGGATGCGGCCTACAGGAAAGGGTGGGGGGTAGGTCTGATATGTGGCTCAACAGTCACTTTGACATTAAGCCGACGTTGTGAGGATAGACACTGGATTGCAATTTATTATAATTTACTCATAAGGTTGAGTGAACGGTGTATTTGAAAACTCTCATTGAACTGACATCTGTTATGTTTGGCTCATAAGTCATCATGGTGTCAAAACCTTCTTACAGCAAACGGAAACTAAATTTGAGAGAGAGAGAGAGAGAGAGAGAGAGAGAGAGAGAGAGAGAGAGAGAGAGAGACAACATGCAGAGTAGATACGGGAGAAAAAACGAATACTAAGTAAAGACACTAAAATATAAACAAAAGTTTCCACCCAGTTATTTATCATTTAACAATACAACAAGAAAACGTTTTGTTGATGTCATGTACTTCGGTTTTTCATATTTGTTCTGCATGTATAGTGTAGTGAGACTTTACAAACACCCTGTATCATTTTCCACAGTCCGACAGTTAAACATGTGTACTGTATCTCCCAGTTATCACCCCGATGCTAAATCGGACGCATGCCCCACTGTAAAGTCGCCCTATTTGCCACACGCTATACCGTGCATTGTTTACTTTGATCTAATCAGTCTGTCGGTCCGATAACACAATCACCAGAAGTTCAATGTACACTACACAAATTTAACTTTCACAAACTCGAAATTACAATCGACTGTCCAACACTGTGAAACATAATCCAATGTCGAATCCGTTAGAAATATCCGGGTGAAATATATATTTATGCAATTCCCAACCGCTATCTAGCACAATAATAAAGGATGTAGATCCCTCCATCCACTTTACACACTGTCCTACAGTGGTTTTGAAATAGACCATAACATTTATGTGTTGTGCGCAAGAGATGTCTGGTAATTCTGACGTCTTTGTAACGTTAGGTGCATAGTTCTTGACTTGGCTGTACAG